CAGACAACCTCTCGTCAATATGCGTTTTTCGCATTGCATTGCTGCAAAAAACGCATAAAAACTCACTTTGCCTTTCCCTCTAATTGTTCGAAATTTAGCTTCTTTTTGGTTCCTGAGCAACTTCGTCCTGCTCAGGGAATTCAGCTTTTTTTGTCGAAATTATTCTCATTGGCTCGGTTAACAGTCCGACAACTGTGATATTACGAAGAGGCAAAAAGAAATTCTTTTGGATGATAGCGAGAAAAAAATTAATTGATTATTTGTTGTAAGATTATGTTACATATTTTGTTCAAATTTCTTGCTTACTTCATTCTCTATGAGAAATAGAGGCACTCACAAGTATCGAGGTTAATAGACAGAGCGTGCCAAGTGCAGTCGCTGGCTCTCTGGGCCGTCAGTAGCTGTCTTCCGAATGTTACTCACAAGCAAGCTGATGGCGTGTTGCAGTACACTAGTTTACCAAAGAACTGAATGAACGAATTGTGAAAAGGGAAATGCGTGAATTGGGTCCATTTAATCGAAGTGTATTCATTCAAGTGTTGTGTAAGACAGAAGATGAAGAAAGGAATATTACGGAATGACTAAACACACTATGCGTGCCTTTTCCTGATTTTACTCATTCGCCTGCTGGAAATTATTGATTTATCAACTTTATTACAAGTCACATTATCCGTTTGACAAAAATGCATTTGGTATTATTTAGTCGTTCAACAATAACGCCAACAGTATGAGCAGCGGCGGTGGTGGTCTGCCTTGGGGTGGCGGTGGTGGTGGTGGATATCTGCCTTTTTACGGCGGTGGTGGAGGTGGATATACGCCTTACTATGGCAGTGGAGGTGTATCAGCAGGCGGCGGGGGTGAGCCATCAGGTGGTGGTGCTGTAAATTCATTTAACGCCAATGAAGTTGGAAGCGGGGTTTGTTTTATTGTTCATAAAATATTACATTTATTATGCGTTTTGTACTGTGTAACAGCAGTATAAAACGCATGTCGTTACGGAGTTGTTTGTTTGTGTGCGTATGTCCGAAATTTTGTCCCGCATTTTCAACTCGAGAGACAAAAGCCAGGCGGCTGAAATTTTAATAGATTGCTCTCCGCCCACGTGTGGCCCCGCAAATTTAAATTCACTCTCCCCATATCAGCGGATAACAAGTACGGCCCTCTAAAAGTTTTGGCGGATAAAATCATTATCTCGGGAACT